TACAAGGAAGAAAACACAAGTTCCCAAAAGCGCTTTCGTACAGTCACATCTTCAGGGGTGAGTACAGACGAGAGAAATACAAACCAAGGTGTATATACACAGAGGAGGGTGAGACCAGAAGATTTGTAACCAGTGAGAAAGGCCGGGTCACCTGACCATCTGACCTGATCACCAACCGTTGTGTGCTATTTAAAGATTAGTAGGGTCATTACCTAATACCTGACCATTGTGGACCTGGTCTCACCCTCCTCTGTATATATACCTTATTTGTACTCACCCCTGAAGATGTGAATTACACAGCGCTTGGGCACGTGTTTTCTTCTTTCCTTGTGGTTTATCAGCATATATATATATATATATATATATATATATATATATATATATATATATATATATATATATATATATATATATATATATATATATATATATATATATATATATATATATATATATATATATATATATATATATATAATTTTCTGAAATGTTAGTGTACAGTAAGTTTATATTGTCTCTTTAGTCTATAATGTGTGACAGTGGAACAGGTGAAATAAGACCTCATATCATTGAACACTAAGAGTCATATTACTCTCGTGTAACATAATGTTAACAAAAAAGCGAGTTGGTGTATTGTGAAGAAACACCATTAATGTGTAGAGCCTGAACCAGATTACGGTGAGTCAGGTGATACAAGAGGATGGTGAGGCCACGGGGTCAACCCTAACCTGGCCTGATGAGTGAGATGGGTTGCATATATGGGATGGTAGTTAGAGTAGACCGATGTATGTGGAGATAGGAGATAGGGTAAGTGAATGGGAGATGAGACAGACGGGGATACCTAGAACAAATGGGATGAGGGGATGGGTAGGGGCGGCTGGAGGCAGAGTGATGGGAATTATCAGGAATGTATAGTGGAATTAACCATAACGGTATGACAGGATTTATTGGGCCTATGAAGTGAGTTTGACAGCGAATTAAATATATGGCAGAGGTCCCTGAGCCATGGTAGCTGGTGCAGATAACAACCACAAACATATTTTCACTTGTTCTGTATTTTGCTGTATTTAGGACTGAGATTTTACTCGTATTTTGAAAAGTTGAAAATGTTAATGTATGTGTTATATGGCGCCCCTTGATGGTGACGAGCACTAGACACCCTTGTATCCTTGGGGTGTTCTGCTGAGTACACTGCTGACGAACACTTGAACTTGCCCTGTGTGTCCCTGAGGATTTGTCCCACAGGTCTCATAAGTATACGGGTCCCAATGTCAGATATTAAAGCCTTCTATACTAAAGGAGACACTGTAATGGCACTGCACTTTACAGCCTCAAGTGTAAAGTTAGGTACCAGTAGACGGGGAGGGGGGTGGGGGGTCACCAAGTTAGAACCAGTGAATCTTAAGAGGAGAAGTTAGTTCTTCTTTGTGATGTCGTAATATTGTTTTCGAAAAGTACAATGATATAGATGATAATACAAACAAGGAAATAAGAGCTTTATTAATAATATAACGTAACGTAATCCAGGTATAGATCAGTCACATTATATTCCTCACTCTGAATATCACCACTGATCAGTAAGGTCCGACCACACCATCTCGTCAGCTGGGGTTTACACTCAGGAGGCGTATTGGACACTGACATCGATACATCATTGTTAGCCGGAGATATTTCATGTTGTTGTAATGTCATCTTATTTATTTTGTAGCATTAAAGAATTACGATGTGTTATGGAGATTCAACCATCAGATATATTTAGCATCGTTCAGTTGGTTTATTTTCTGTAACAAAACTCCGCTGTAAAGAAAAACATGATGTCTAGTTTATAAATAATATCTGGCCATTACATCGTGTCTTACCAGGTAGTGTCTGCTACGGAAGAGAGACGAAGAGTGTACTGTACAGTGTATGAGTTTCGTAGTGAATCTGGTTTATGTCGTGTTCCTTGGTCAGGATCAGGATTCATGAGATGGTGGTGTGTGTGTGTGTGTCTGTTGCAGCGGTTTTGTGAATATGCATAAAGCGGAAACTTCATTTATTATAGTGAGTTTTACGTTTTGCAATATGCTGAGTGGCGGGTTTTGATATCTCTCTCTCTCTCTCTCTCTCTCTCTCTTTCGTGGCGTGGTAGAGCGCTGTGGGAGGCGTGAGTGTGTGTGAATAAAGAGTGCGTTGTTTCCTGGTGTGTCAGAGATAATCCCTGCAGAGGCGTTTACTGCTGTTTTCTCGCGCGTGTCGGTTGTGGCGGGGGACAGGGGATGAGTGTTGTAAGGGGGCAGGGTAATGTAAGGGAGGCAGGGGGCGTGCTGTAAGGGAGGCAGGGGGCGTGCTGTAAGGGGGCAGAGGGTGGTGGCAGGGGGCAGGGTAGAAACACGGTGCGTAAGAGTAAGACGTGGGCGTTGCAGGGTGAAGGCAATGAGCGTATAGTGGGAATAAGAGACAGGCGAATGAGAGGGAAGGAGAGGGAGGGAGTGGGAAGGAGAGGGAGTGAGTGGGGATACTATACTGTTAGGGGAATGTGCAGGGTAATGAGTGTGAGTGATGACTACAGGGTGGTGATGAGTGCAAGTGATGACTACAGGGTGGTGATGGTGGTGAGTGTGAGAGATGACTATAGGGTGATGAGTGTGAGTGATGACTACTGGTGATGAGTGTGAGAGATGACTACTAGTGATGATGATGTGTGAGTGATGACTACTGGTGATGAGTGTGAGTGATGACTACAGGGTGATGGCGATGAGTGTGAGTGATGACTACAAGGTGATGATTGTGAGTGATGACTACTGGTGATGAGTGTGAGTGATGACTACAGGGTGATGGCGATGAGTGTGAGTGATGACTACAAGGTGATGATTGTGAGTGATGACTACTGGTGATGAGTGTGAGTGATGACTACTGGGTGATGATGAAAGTGGGAGTTCCCAGTACAGTGTGACCTATATAAACTCTTCAAACAGATCAACATGCATGTGTACACCGGCCGCACATAAATGAACCTGATGATAATTCTTCTAAATGTTTTCACGATAATGAGACCAAACATACGAAGAGCGGCGCCTCGTGTCGAATTATTCCCGCACTGTTTAAATTATCTACTTGAGTGGAATGTGACAATACGGAGAGAAAGTTACTTGGAAAAAAAAATATATATATTTTTTTTAATTGCTGGGATCCTACAGTTTACGAAGACATTTTAAAGCCTCGTGTTAATAATGACGTACTACTGACCTATCTACATCATCATGGGGTGTGTGTGTGTGTGTGTGTGTGTGTGTGTGTGTGTGTGTGTGTGTGTGTGTGTGTGTGTGTGTGTGTGTGTGTGTGTGTGTGTGTGTGTGGTGTGTGTGTGTCCTCCCGGCCACCACAACAACATCATGATAGCTACAGGAATATCGGGAGCTGTTTAGGGAATGTTGTCTTTTTTCTCAAGTTTATTAGTTCACTTGTACAGGAGAGAGAGAGAGAGAGAGAGAGATGCAGAGAGAGAGAGAGAGAGAGAGAGAGAGAGAGAGAGAGAATTATCTTCCGTGGTGGTTGTGTAAGCATGACTTTGCAAAACTTGGGGGTATATCATGCGAGGAGGTACCTGAACATATTCCCTTTAACACCAGCAGCAGCAAAGGTGATATTGGCGCGTATTGTGACGCCCCCTCTTGGCGGCTTCCATTAGTGTGTTGTCTCCTACGTCTGGTGCTCCTCTGTAGCTCTTCTGTAGGTCCTCTTATATATTCCTCTTATATAGCCCTCTTCTCTGTAGCTCTTCTTCTGTTGGTCCTCTTATATAGCCCTCTTATATAGCCCTCTCTGTTGGTTAGTCCTCTTATACAGCTCCTTCTGCAGCCTCCCTCTTCTGTTGGTCCCTCATATAGCTCCTCTTCAGCTCTTCTTCTGTTGGTCCTCTCATAGCTCCTCTTATATAGCTCCTCTTCTGTTGGTCCCCTTATATAGCTCCTCTTATATAGCTCTTCTGTAGCTCTTCTTATATAGCTCCTCTTCTGTAGGTCCTCTTATATAGCTCCTCTTATATAGCTCCTCTTATATAGCTCCTCTTCTGTAGCTCTTCTTCTGTTGGTCCTCTTATATAGCTCCTCTTCTGTAGGTCCTCTTATATAGCTCCTCTTATATAGCTCCTCTTATATAGCTCCTCTTCTGTAGCTCTTCTTCTGTTGGTCCTCTTATATAGCTCCTCTTCTGTAGGTCCTCTTATATAGCTCCTCTTATATAGCTCCTCTTCTGTAGCTCTTCTTCTGTTGGTCCTCTTAAATAGCTCCTCTTCTGTAGCTCTTCTATTGCTCCTCTTCTGCAGCTCCTCTTCTGAAGCTCCTCTTCACCTGACCATAAACGCTTCAGGTGTGCCAAACTCTGAAGGGTTAACTCTGTTACTGGGAGATCTGTGAGTCTTGGTTCTTGGAATATGTGCCAGTCAGTTTTTCGCCGCGTATGGCTGTCATTCTCTGCAGCCACCCACCTGTGCTCCATACTCGGGCGGCTACTGAAAAAACATACCACCCCAACACTTGAACTGGTGGGCTGTCTCCTGATCCTGCTTCCTTCCCTCCCTCCTGATCCTGCTTCCTTCCCTCCCTCCTGATCCTCTCCCTCCTGATCCTGTCCCTCCTCCTCCTCCCTCCTGATCCTGTCACTCCTCCCTCCTCATCCTGTCCCCTCCTCATCCTGTCCCCCCCTCCCTCCTCATCCTGTCCCCCTTCCCTCCCTCCTGGCCCAGCCGTGCTCCTCCCCACGTCTTTCATGACACATTTACTGTCAAGGCCTTGTCTTGACTGTCGGTTGAGGTTTCATGCACAAATGGAAACGAGATTACACAGGCTATGAGGCTCTAGGAGGCAGGAGAATCACCGAGGGATTTTGGGATCACTGGGACAGAGTTCAAGTTCACTGTTGTATTTTGTTTGTTTATTTTTTTGTTGATGCTGCTTTCCTATTTACGTGTTATTTTTTTTGGTATGTATAAATTAATATTGTTTTTTTTTTCTTTCCAGACGAGAATATTCGTCAGTTGCAAGGAATACAGGAGACCATCCAGCGCATGCGCGAAACCAACTTGGCAGTGAAGGTGAGTGTTACCTTATGCTTAACCCCACATGGTGTGTTGGTAGTGTGTGTGTGAGTGTGTGTTACCTTATGCTTAACCCCACATGGTGTGTTGGTAGTGTGTGTGTTACCTTATGCTCAACCCCACATGGTGTGTTGGTAGTGTGTGTGTGTGTTACCTTATGCTTAACCCCACATGGTGTGTTGGTAGTGTGTGTGTGTCGTGAACTGCCGCAAATATCCCGTGTAAACAGTGCTGACAACTGAGTCTACCCGCTGTTTGTGTCTCTGTCCGGCTGAGGATACCGAGTGGTGTGGTAGTGGGTTGGAGACGGCTGAAAGGAAGCCAAACTGTGCCTGACCTACCACTATGGCTCACTTATCTAACAATTTAAAGGGGAGTGAATGAGGATGTGAGACGCCAGTTTTAGTATTTCCCTTCGAGGCCGCTGGGAGCCTGGCAGTAGAGCGGACACATATAAACACAGTATTAAAGTCTCCAACATTGTACTCTACCTCACGTAAGGGGGGGGGGGGCGCATGGTGAGAAGGTGTGACGTGAATGATCGTTGTGTTTGTCTTTTTACTTTTATCTCGGTGTTCGTAGTTTTGTTTCCTTTAGTCGTCGTTTCTTCTTGTCACCACTTCACGTCTTGAGGTTGTGTCCACTGTGATTTTAAGTAACACCTAAACACGAGGTTACTAGAATGTGGATTTGTCAGTATTTGATGATGTAATTAAGGAGATATCTTTTACCGCTACTCGAGTTGCCAAGACGCTATTAGTTTATCCACCCCGGCACCTAGCCCACCCCTGCACCCAACCCACCAGTACTGCACCTAGCCCACCCCACCCCAGCACCCACCCAACCCACCAGTACTGCACCTAGCTCACTCCAGCACCCACCCAACCCACCCCAACACCCAACCCACCAGTACTGCACCTAGCCCACCCCTGCACCGCGCCCTGGTCTGCCTGCTCTGCGCCACCACCATTACTCATCCTAGTTTTGCTTTTGTGCCGCCCGCCTCTCAGGTGCTGGACGAGAAAGGATTTTGTGTGTGTGTGTGTGATTGTTTGTCGGTTGTTTCTCTTGATTTTTGTCTTCTACACACACACACACACACACCCCAGGGGAACTGTTTGTTAGATTTGGTAGTGTTTGTTGACAGATGGAAGAACCGTAACATTTGAACACTGAGACTACGATTTTTTTTTTGAACAATTGATATAAAAGACTTTGGTGGGCCTTTTATGTTTGTAAAGGGACCAGCTACTTAGATTGTTTGTGTGTGTGTGTGTGTGTCATAATCCTTACGTAGGGAGAAATCAGGCCTTTAGTTTATCTGTTCCTCTTTTATTTATTTATTTATTTATTTATTTTTTGATCGGGTGAAAATATTTTACCTTCCGAACCGTAACTGGAGAAGGCATGCAACAGTGAACACGATACTCCACTGTTATACACACCTTACCGCCAGGGAGTGAAAGGTCCCTATCGATCTGGGGGTTCCTGGGTCACTGTTATGGTCGCTAAAACTAACTAAGAGTTTTTGTATCCGAATCTCCAGGCAAGTTTTACTACCCTGATGAACGTGATATTGTACAGCTAGCTACCTTGTCCTGTGAGGGGTGAATCCTGTGAGGGGTGAGGGAGGGAGGGTGAGAATGTGAGGGGTGAGGGAAGGGGGTGAGGGTTGATATGAAGGTCTTGTTTTTTTTTGTTTTTTTTATTATAGTGATCGTTGGGCCAATATAGTCGAGATACCTGTTCATAAATCTGTAAGGTGAAATACTATGACCCAATGAGCATCATTTTACATATGTACGTTACCTAACCTAACCTAACCCATTCCAGGAGTTTGAAGGCTGTTCCTCTCTAATTATTACGACCTTAACTAAATTTAACTTTGGAAGAAAAAATATGTTCGTGTTGGATGAAGGCGGGGCGGGGCGGGGCGGGGCGGGGGAGTTAATATAATCACTAGAGTGTCAGTTTATTCTGGGATGTTTTGTTCCTCCCAAAAGACAGGTTGAGAACATTTCATATTGAGTGGCCAAGTCTAGTACCACACTGCTACCGCCTGTACACTCCTCGTAGCGGTATATATCATGGATGTCTTGTTGGGTGGCTGGTCTATCCTCGGCTGTAGGCTTGTTGGTCCGTCTCTCCTTGGCTAGTTGGTCTCTGGTGTTGTTGGCTAGTAGAACCCTTTATCTCATGGTGTTGTGCTAGTAAGACTCCATCCCTTCTCTGATGTTGGCTAGCAGAACCATCCATCCCCTGGTGTTGACTAGCAGAACCATCCATCCCCTGGTGTTGACTAGCAGAACCATCCATCCCCTGGTGTTGACTAGCAGAACCATCCATCCCCTGGTGTTGACTAGCAGAACCATCCATCCCCTGGTGTTGACTAGCAGAACCATCCATCCCCTGGTGTTGACGAGCAGAACCATCCATCCCCTGGTGTTGACGAGCAGAACCATCCATACGAGCTAGTGGGATGACACCTTATTAGCTTAGTTATACCCGCACGTGGATGACTTGGTAAAGTTTTTTAATACGTTTTATTTTGTTGCTAGTTATAGTTTTTCTACTGAATTTTTCACTTTGATGTTTGTTATCAGATTGTGTGTAGGATCAAGCGAAAAGTGTTCAGAGCTCATCAGTGGGGTTTTACAGCCGACCTTTTGATGTTTCTGCGTGACTAGATTAGGTTTTCAATATATTTTAGATCCCCAGCTATAGAGAGAGATGGGAGGGGGGTGGGGGTATTTTTCTTTTAGTTTTGTCTATCTGTCCGTCCGTCCGTTTGTCTGTCCGTCTGTCCGTCTCGTATTATCTTCAAACTTAAAAGAAGGTAAACGTTTTGTACAGGTTTTAATATGTTTGGTGTGGCATTTCAATGAAGGTCGAAGGTCACAGCTGGAAGTCAAGTATGTATGTGTGTATTTACGTCTACCCAGCAGTAATTGGGAACCCGAATGTTAATCGATTTGCGGATCGTGTTTCGGGGTAATGGTTAGCCAGTGCAGTTGGCGAGTTGTCCGGTTTTCTCAGACTATTCCTTGACACTGGGTCATGCAGCTCGTTAACCCAGGGTGTGGTTGTTGTGTTGGCGACAGCTTCTACACCTTAAACAAATTCAAGCCTAGGTGACCCTTGGGCCGGCCATCCTCGTTACACGAAGTGCAATCATTATTATTATATGTATGTATGTATGTATGTATGTATGTATGTATGTATGTATGTATGTATGTATGCCCCTTGACAAATTAGCCGTCCACCGGGGCCATCCGTGCTCACACTCAAACATTTCTAGGACCTTTTCCACAGTTTTTTTTAGTAATACATTTTATTACAAGTTTGTTAGTAGTGTTAAGCAAAGGAGAATATTTAACGTGTGTGTGTGTGTGTGTGTGTGTGTGTGTGTGTGTGTGTGTGTGTGTGTGTGTGTGTGTGTGTGTGTGTGTGTGTGTGTGTGTGTGTGTGTGTGTGTGTGTGTGATCATCATTCACTCATCCATGTTCATCTCTACACTTCATACGCCTTTGTTTAGTTAATACGTTTGTGTGTATGATTGTTCAGTATGTGTCGGTGTATTTTTATCACGTGATCACAATGAGGTGTCCGCTCACAGCCATTCACCTCACCTTTGTCCTGTAAATTGGAATACCTATGCCTTAATTATGTAGAATATTGATAATAAAAGAGTATAGATAACGTATAATTGAGGGTGTGTGTGTGTGTGTGTGTGTGTGTGTGTGTGTGTGTGTGTGTGTGTGAAGGTTGAGGTGATGGGGGAGCAAGTGGGGGAGTTCCTCTTCAATATGTGCGTCGTGGGTTGTGTTGACGTACCAGACGCCTTCACACTCCTCTCTCCCCTTCCCCCCCTTTCTCCCTCCTCCCCTTTCTCCTCCCTCCTCCCCTTTCTCCCTCCTCTCTCCCTTTCCCTCCTCCTCCTCCCTTTCTCCCCTCCCTCCCCTCTCTCTTCCCCTCCCTCCCTCCCCTAACCCTACATTATCAACACTTGTCCTCATATATTTTATTTAATTTTTTTGAGAAGAACGAATAACTTTTTCTGCCATGACAGGCCTGCCCATAAATACAGAGCGTGAGGGAAGCTAGTGAACTGGCTTGCTGCTTGGTTGGTGAACTTGGCTGGCTGGTGAACTGACTGGCTTGTTGGCTGGTGAACTGGCTGGCTGGTGAACTGGCTGGGTGACTAGCAGTGTGGGGCTGGCTGACATGCTAGCAGGAAGACAGTCCTAGTACTTTATTTGTTTAGCACACTGGCTGGCTGCTATATCGTTGGAACTCTTAGCTAGCTGAAGAATGAGACGAGAGAGAGAGAGAGAGAGACGACCGCTTTAAAAAAAAATAAAAATCAGTGATTCAGTTGGTCGAGGCTGCAGGTGGGAACGTCGGGGCTGGTCGATGGTCTATTGATCATTGTTTACCGTCCAACCACTTGACCTAACCACTGTTGTAGATTTTTGCCCGCCTCATTCAGAAAAGTTCCCAGTCCTTAATTTTGTTTAACTCTAGTGACCCAAATCTTAATGGTTCTCTGGTTTTAGGGGGTTATAAGTTAGGCTAGGTCGTGTGTGTGTGTGTGTGTGTGTGTGTGTGTGTGTGAAGGACCTGGTGAGTGGGAGGTTGCAGCTGGGTCTCTGTTTGGTTCGATCGGTAGAGTCTGCAGAGTCGTCACTATTACCACCCAGAACTAACCTTCAATAATACCCGGAACTAACCTTCAATAATACCCGGAACTAACCTTCAATAATACCCGGAACTAACCTTCAATACCCTGTTGATGACTGACCGGAGTGGAGACTGTGAGTTTGTCTTGAAATAAAAATGTCATATCCCTGTAAAATAATGATCGTGTTTCCTGTTCTCAATACGCTAGGCAAAGAAGCACTGGCGGAAGTACCTGAGCTTCAC